AGCGGGGCAGGGCCGGTCTCCGAGCGCCAGGTGGCTGGGGTACTACTGGGTGCTTTCCTAAAACTGGGTCTTGTTAAGGGTATCGGGTAAGGTGCTTGAAAATCCAGGTTCCTAAGATCAATAGAAAGTCTTAGCGATATCCATTTAAAAGTATTCAAACTTCTGTATGTACACTTACAGTTGTGTTTTAATTTGAGAAGGGAATTATAACTAACTAAGCAAATACAGTTTTCTAGATTGTGTTTTAAAAACTGAAATGCAAACCGGAATGCATTTTTAAAAAGACAATTTAAGGCTCATAGTAGCTGACACAAATGCACTGAGCAACAGGAGTTGCGAAAAGCATCTTTCAGAGCACAGTGCCCTGGGATCTGTGATAAGACCAAAAATATGGACTTTCACAAGTAAGCAGTTCTCGGGTATCTGGAGGTCTCTTTGTGAACTGACGTGCAACTTTGCTCACTGAACACTCAACTGCTGTGGTAACAGTCACACCTACCTGCCCTTGTGCTGACGGCAGCAACGCATGAGCACAGGGCTGGCAGCGAGGCGAAGGAACACCTATGAGGGAGGTGTGGTCGCCTTCTTTCCTGGTCACTGTAAGACAGGTTGTTTTGTTGTTTTTTTTTTTTTCCCATTTCATTTTGTTAGTATTGCCACATGGCTAATATTTTTCTGAGCAATAGTTTGATTTTTTTTTTTTTTTGCATTCTTGCTTCATTGTGCTTTCGTCTTTTGTCTGGCATTGCTGAAGCCTGAGCAAATATTTAAAATAGTGTGTGAGGGTCATGGAGAAGTTGAAGTTCCTGTTCCAAGAACTGAAACTCTGAATCAAATAAGTCTGAGGTTTTCTGCAGCAGGCTCTATACTTGAAAAATTCTTGATATTGAAGTAGGCTTTAAACCCAGCTACTCATAATGCTTGAAAATAAAGTGGATGTGGGGTTCTCTAATTTGACAGCACTTCTGTGAGTTGTCCTGCATTATTTTCTACTTAGCCTCATGTGCGTGTAATTTGTCTGTGCTGAAAGTTTTAATCTTCCCCTGGAGTTTATGAAAAAACACTAGGCTATATGATCCGAATCATTTGGTTTGCAGGATTTGCTGGAGTTTATGAAAAAACACTAGGCTGTATGATCCGAATCATTTGGTTTGCAGGATTTTTCTGATGGGTCTAACATTGTTGGAGCAGAGCCCTTCAGCAATATTGCATCAAGATCACTGCATGGCACTTGTGAACTGAGCCAGTTGGGAGCAGTCTGGTAGACCTACAGGAATATTTTCCTCTATGTCATTAGTTCAGGGTAGTAGCAGTTCCTCCTAAGTGTAGGAACACTTGTGCATAGTAGAGAAATAACGGGCACCAAATACAAAGTGTTATCGCCAGAAGCTAAATAAAGCCTTGTGTCAAAATTTCTCCTTTTTGCTACCAAAGTAATGGTGCAGACCTCTATGTGTGTGTGTGGCAGGTTCATCTTAAGAAGCTGGCTAATTGTAAGAAATTGTGTTTGGCTTACGTAATAAACTGAATGGGATATATTTCTTACACAAGGCTTTTACCCCCCTGTACGCTTTCTCCTGACCTGAACAGGGTGGTTAATGAACTGTGTAATTTCTTAAGAAGTTCCCCCATCATGTGGAAGAAGTCACAAACACTCAACTGTCCCGCAGGGCAGGTTTTGAGCCCTTAGGAGTGGCAGCTGCAGAGCATGGCAGACCGCATGCACGCTGGGCTGTACGCTGTGGTCCCTGCCCTGGCACCCGAGTATCTCATCCCTTCCCCATTGATCATAGTGAGTCTGCAACAACAGTGTGGAATGTGAGCTCTGGCACACGCTAACAATCCTGCGTGGCCCTGCTGTGCCTGTGAGGCTGGTGGAGCTCGTTCCAGTCCATCGTCCCTGCTGCTGTGCCATGTGCTAGCTACCCAAATCTGGTTCATGCTCCAGATCTTTATTTTTCATATCAAATATACAGCTTTGTGCAGTTGACAGAGTTTAGTGACTCGTTCTCCTGTTGTGTCTGCTATAAGTGATATAACTGGAGCTGAGTTTATTGGGCCTGCTTAAGCAGGTCTTTCTCCTTTTGGAAGGATTGATGCTTCAGTGAGTGGTGAGGCTGGATGTAAAATGACGGTGAGCTGTGCCTGAAATTCTAGATTCTTAGCAGAGGTTTGGTTTTGTTTCTTTATTCAGAACACATTAAAAACCCATCCACTTTAACGTGCTCGGAAGTTGAGATAGGTGAATTGTCTTCCATGATCTACAAAACAATGTTCGCAATCAACCAGCCACCAAAACGCTAACTCTGACGTCTCTTGGGAATAGCAGTGGTCACTTCTGCCACTCTGTGTAATGTAGCAGGAGAAGTAGGTGGCAGAAAGTAGTACTGTGGAAGGTGGAAAGGACCCTGAAATGCCAAATCTCTTAAATCAACTGTCAGAAACTCCAGTACCTAGCAGTCCTACCTTTTATTCAATAGCTGATGTGGAAGAAGAAACTGTTAGCAGAGGTGGGCTAAAAACAGGGTGAGGAAGATGGAGAGAGAAGAGCTGAGAAGGGGGAGTGACGGGTGTTTCGCTGGGGAAAAAGGGCAAATGGCATCTCCACTGGACTGTGTATGTGTATATGTGTGTGGCAGCAAATTTCTGTTGGAAACTTGCATTTGGGTTACAAAACCTAGTTTGTAGATGTAATTTTATTTTTGAGGGTCACAGTTTCACTAATGCTTTTGCTCCTGGGAGTGGGGCACACCATATCCCAGGCTTTCACCTAAGTCAGGTCTGCCCACAGACCTGTTGCATCAGATATACACTACTCCATGCTTTGTTGTGTTGAGGGTATGTTGCCAACAGTTTCTTTTGCTGAGAGCATGCTTCTCCAGCATTGTACTTTTTGGTGTGGGGGCTGATGGGGTGCTTGCAGCAAAAACCCGGTTGAAAGAGGTTCAGATGTTCGCTTATGCCTCGGTAAATGTTAACTGAGATTCTGTCATTTCAAATTTACTGTGCTTTGGATTGCAGCAAGTGGAAGTGTTTCAGGCCACTATTCTGCAGCAAGGAGATCTGCCTGCAGGAGCTATGCAAGATAGCATAAGGAGTGTTTAAAACCTGATATACATTAATTTAAAGTATACTAACAATGGCTGCATTTTTTCTTTGTTTTTCAGAATTGGTCTGGGAGTCTAATTGTAGCTTCTTTAACTGGTGCTTTTGGATCATCTTTTCTTTATGGTTATAATCTCTCGAATGTGAATGCTCCTGCAGTGGTAAGTGACTGACAAAACTGGAACTGAGTATCAGTAGAGGGCAGCCTTGCCCAGCTAGTGTGCGCCTCTCAGCATCCTGCTTTTGTAATCCTCCTAATATAATAGAAGAGGTTAAATCTTGTAAAGTAACTTTGCTTTGCCTGAAAGCTTCTTTCTGCTCTCCATGAGGTTTTCACATAAATTCAGTAGCTATCAGGAAACTGAACACTGCTGTTGAGGTGAGTGGGTGCACATGGTTTGCTTCTCATTGTCCCCAAGCCCAGACAAATACTAAATCTCCTTGCACACTTTTGTGTGATAAGGTATTTTTAATAGTTTATCTTTCTGACCAGTGAGTATTTGGTAGCTCTATGAACATGTCGTTCTGTTCTGGAGGGGTTGCACAACATTTAATTCCTACAGTACCAATACTATAAATAATGCCTCTGGCTTCCTCTTAAATAATGGGTCTCTTCTTCTGCATTTCATGGTGATGCCTTGTTTGGTTCTGAATTTGAAACCACCATGTTGACCATCTCTTGGCTGCGACATATGGAATAGATTTGATGAATAGAGTACTGTGAAATCAGTGTACAGTATTTTGGGGGATTTCATTAAAAATATCAGTTATCACAAATGGAAATCTGAACATTTTGTTTTCACACTGGCTGTCTAGAGATCCTCTTAATTCAGTCAAGCACAGCAGTAAGGAATTCAGTGGAGCTGTAAGCAACAGTATTTTGAAAAAGCAGCTAGTAAATTTTGGGAACTGTGTAAATTCCATTTCAAAATAGTTCCTTTCCAAAGCTAAGCTCATTCTTTTTTGGAAGTCTTTTATTAAAATGTGTGGCTAGGTTTCCACTAAAACAGGTTGGTCTCATTAAAGATGAGTGTGATATTTATGCAAATACTGGAATAATTTTTTAAAAAATTTATGTTTTACACATGTATGTCCTAAAGGACTAGGAAGAGGCTCACCATGTAGGAAGTTGTAATTGCCCCCTTCATAACTTCTGGGAATTTTCTTGAAGTTCCTGGTACTCTTTGTACCAATAACACAGGGATAGACAGATTGGATGTTTATTCTAGCATGACATGTCTAGGCATCACTTCACCTTGTAGTCATCAGAAGATAAATGTGGCTTGGAAGAAAATCGCAGGAAGCCTGAATTCT